CAGCAGCCTAATTTCTATGGTCTTAGGCAAACCTGCGAAGGAAAGAAAAAGGGTAAGCATTAGGTATGTTCGGGGCACAATATTTACTATTATAAGAAGTGCCTTACCATATGAACGGGCCTCCCATCGGCCCTTCAAAAGCTTGCGCTACGAGCGCTCAAAATACGACATCTGCTTGCACATGCCTTTGATCCACTCCTTGAGCCGTTGGACCGCATTGGGAACCCGAGAAACAACTGCACGATCACAAATACTGACGGTAAGAAGGGGAACAAAGAAAACTCAACACTTAAAAGAAAAAGTACACCTACGAGATGCATTCCACTTCTCAAGGAATGGCAGAAATTTGGGAGGGATTAAATATTCGATCTTCACTCGAACGAAGCTCCCTTACCAGTCTCGATCTCGATCCTCGTCAATACTCAAAAAGGGGGCCTTGATAGCCCAGCGAGTGAGATCCCTCCTTAGAATATTCGGGACTATATAAATGGAGTAGGTGATCGAGGGTGAACCGGGGAGACTTGGTGTTGTTCGCAAAATAACAGAGGAGGATTACGGTCCTTCAAAGAGACGGGTCGATTGGCCCAAGGCACACCTTGTATCTCTTGCAAAAGTCCAAAACAGTTGAGTCTGTCGGGCCTAGTGTGAAAGGATAAGTATAAACATTTAAACACCCATCCACATGAGTGGTGATATCGTCCTTAGGCTCCGGGACTAACATGTCCTTACCTCCCCAGTTACAGTCATCTCGGACAATATGAAGGGTATCTTCGGTGACAGAGCATATATATCTCGATGACCCTTCACCTCGATCTTGTTTGGATGAGGCCTTCTCAACTTTGAAGTCATCTAAGACTAAACAGCCCCTGGGAACAGAACTTTTCATGAGGGGCTCTAGGGCCGCTTTGGCGGCAGCCACTTCGAGAGTAGCCGTATCGAGAACAACCGCTTTGGGGATGGTTGCCTCGGTCCCTGTGACCGGGTGAGAAGATAAAGAGGCAGCCTACTGAGGAACTAATTTGGAAGTTTTAGACATCGTAAATCTGGAAAATACGTGAAGATTTGAAGTTTAGATATGAGGTTCTGGGTTGAAAATCCAAGAAAATGTATAAAGGTAGGATAAAGATCTGGGTAGAAACTTAAGAACAATTATGAAGATTTGATGGTTAAAGGTAAAAAGATGAAGAGTTGGAAATTGCTAGGAAATTCGAAGATAAAAGCTAAGATCAGAAAGTGGAAAAGGTACAAAAAATCGAAACCTTTATAGGAAAAAACATAATCATTATGCGTCGGTTCACATTCAGAGGCGACCAGCCGATGGTTGACACGTGTCCGAAGTTAGAACTACGCGACTGATTGGACGTTTCAGCTTTTTCGTCATTTTCGTTGTAGCGTACGAAAGAAGGAACCGGGGAACATCTATCGTTTCCCATCTTTTCAGCAAACCTACTCTTTGGGAAATGAGGGGACTATTTGTATACGGGTAAAACCGAGGGTAACATGTACCCCGATTTCTGGTGGGTTGATAAGTGGAGATTTTGACTACTTATTAGCGTCTTTTTACCTTCATTTTAGTTCAAAAGTGCTTAATTATTTCTCCGAAAACTGATGAAATGTGCTTAAATATTGGAGTATTGGAAAATGAGCCACAAAGATGAAATCCAACTCAAAAAGGAGTAATGTGAACTCAAGGACAAAAAGCAGGAAAAAGCATAATGTGTAGAACACATAATCTATCAGAGCCCAAGAGCAATGTGCGGCCGCAGAAGCTACATCAAAGCTAAAGTTTAGAAAGTCACCATTTCGAGCTTAAAGAAATGAGGAGCGCACAATTATTGTGTGGCCGCAGAAGTCAGCCATGCGGCCACACTTAAAATTTTGCGGTTCGCAGAGAGGGCCTATGCTGCCGTACTCAGTTTTGTGCGGACCGCAGAACACTTAAGATGCGGCCGCATTCCAGTTTTGTGTGGACCGCAGATCCAGCTCCGGCCAAATCTGAAGAAGAAGTGCGGACCGCACATGGAATTGTGTGACCGTAGAACCTCCGAGAGGGCAATTTTGTCCGAAAATTTTAGCTGTGTATAAATAGACTTCTTTCACGAAATTAGGTCAAATTTTGAATCCTAAAAGACATGTAGCCGTTTCTTCTTACTCTTTTAGGAAAGTTTGGTGATTTAATATTGGATTTTTGTCCTTTAATCTTTTAATATGAGTTTAATTATCTTTTCATCTCTATTTTCTTCATTATCCATTATGAGTAGCTAGATTTTTAGCTAGGGTTATGACCCAACCCTAGTGTATAAACCTAATGGGTGTTTAATTTATGGCTTGTTTATGGTTGGGTATTTACTATTTAGCCTTATTCTTACTTTTAATTATAGAATTAATGGTTACAAATATTAGTTCAAGCCTATTTGACTTGGCCTCTTCTTGAGAAAGAGAGACTTAGTCTAGGAAAATAAGGCTATCAAGAATTTGAGATGAAATTAAGAGATTGATAGTCCCAATTAAAGGGTTGAACCTAGAGATAGTAAAACCCGACTTGAGCAATTTATCAACTGCTTTGTTCAATACCCATTTGGACTTGAGAAAGTCAAATTAGGCAAAATCGCTCTCTTACCGAGAGGTATTCATTGCTATAATACACCCCGACCAACAAAACACGCCTTAAAGCTTACAATCCGTTAGGCAAACACCTAGGTGGAAGTTACATCGGGTCTTTTACATATTTGAAAACATCAAAAATAATATCTTCTTGTTTCATAATTTAGAATTGCAATCCTTAGTGTAATTTTAGACTTAAAATCAAAACAACTATTTGTGAAAGTGCAATGAAGATACTTTGCGCGCTCTACCCAAATATATACCACTAATCCCATCTACGCTCCATGTGGATTCGATCCCGACTCCTAGTTGGATAATATTATTGCAATCGACCGTTTCATAACCCCGAATAGAGGTGCGACTTGGACGAGATCACGGGTCAAATGAAGTAGAGACATGACTGCATGGGATCAGAATCGATGTCAGGGACTTCACGTACTAGGGGTCGAACAGAGTGTTCACCACTGAGCCAAGCAAGACAACACCCCTCGAACCCAGAGCGGGCTCCTAGACCTTGGGAAGCACTACGAACGGTTGCACACGACTAACAGAAAGTCGTGATATCCGCACCCAACATGGTATCATGGCCTGAATCTCGCCCGAAGCAGGTAGCATATCAGTAATTGACGAGAAAGGAGATTTTTTTTTTACTTTTTTTAGAATTGTACACTTTTTTTAGAATTGTACTAGGGATGAAACTCTCCTATTATATAAAGGAGAAGTTTTTTCATTCAATACATATGGTAACACGCATATCAAGACAATACAAACTTACTTCTCTGCTTTTCTAGCCATTGAAAAGTTCTTATTTTATTTATAGTTCTGCATGCACATTTCGTTTCAAATCGAGGGCCCGGTCGAGGACCATTGTTAAGCTAAAATCGACCCTAGATTCAATGTCACAAATTGGATATTGATTTCATTTTTAGTTCGTTTATCTGACGTTCTTGATTTCTTGTATTGAATCAAACTACATATCCTTAAGACAACATACAAATTTAGTTGTTATCCGTCTTTAAGGGTAAACAACATTAAACTAATGAGTATGAAATATATGTCTTGCATATGTATTTCAGTGAAGTCAAATACATTTTATTGTTATTTGTCACCCTTAAAGATAAATTTATTGATCCGATGATCGATATAAATAGACAAACAAATATTTCCATTTATTAATTTTATGACCGTGCGTCTCACATTGTATGCACTTCAATAATTTCATTGAATATTTACTATCTCTCATTAACACCGAATATTCTGATTTCTGCCCACTAAATAAATGAATCATCTACTATTTTTTTATATCTATTCAAAATTCAATTGTAGCTACTTCCAAAATAATAGTTGATAAAATATTTTTATTTTATGTATATAATTTTTTGTATATTTTCTAGGAAATATAATTATTCTTTACCGACCAAACGTGGAGTTTTTGACCAATATTGTCCCTTATCTTTAAGGGTAGTCTATTTTAGTCCCTCAAATATAACCTTGAGCATATTTAATCTTTTAAGTATGCTAAAGTGGAGCACCTTTAGTCTCTTATCTTTGAGGGTAGGTCTATTTTGGTTGCTTAAATATAACCCTTAGCATATTTAGTCCCTTAAGTATGCTAAAGTGGGGCACCTTTAGTCTCACTGACAGAATCGTCCAAGATCAATTACGAGGTTGGTTTCGGCACTCACCGTCCTTTTAATTTACTTATCGAAAATATTTTATAAACCAACACCCAATAATAGTACAGAGCTGACAAATTTAAGATTTTAACTCTGAAACTTTTACTTCTAAAAATTTCGGTTGATTTTTCCAAAAAGATAAGTTAAAATTTGAAAATATTAGAGCTGCCAATATCATTTCTAGGCATATTATTGAAGCAAACGAATAACCAGATTGTATTCTCACTTTTAGCTTGCGCTAGAAATTATTTACATCTGGTAGCCGAAAAAGTATATAAAATTTGTATAATTTTTGTATATTAACATACAAAATGTATATATATACAAATTTTATATATTTTCAAGGTCAAAATTTTAGAAGACACTATCTAAAAATGAGGAATTAAAGTGATAATTCGTGTTATCCAATAAAAGGAGAGGAAATCTTTTGCTTCAAAGTTAAAGATTTGTTTCATGAATCAGAGTTGATTAACACCGTTAGTTTTTGAACACATTCTGTCAATGAGACTAAAAGTGCTCCACTTTAGCATACTTAAGGACTAAATATGCTCAGGATTATATTTGAAGGACCAAAATAGGCTTAATCTCAAAGATAAAGGACTAAAAATGCTCCACTTTAACATACTTAAGGGACTAAATATGCTCAGGTTATATTTGAGAGACCAAAATAAACCTACTCTCAAACATAAATATTGGCCAAAAACTCACCAAACATGTAACTTAGCTTCGTACAACACCCCTCCGAGCCCCTTTGCTAGTGATTAAAACCCGCCCGAAACTAAAAAGAATCAATCTCCCAACAAGTTTCAACTTCCCATTTTCTAGTCTTTTAATCCTTTGTTACTCTTCTCTTCCATCCAAAGCCAAGAATTTCCACTACATTTTACACATACATAAAACTATTCTCTGCAATTCTCCATAGCTTTATAAAATAATTGTGTTGATCAATAATTGTAAAAAGGGTTATCCTTTTCTTCTTTTAAGCTTAAAACAATGAAGGTTCATCCAGTACCAAGAAAACGCAACATCACGCTCCGATACGACATCGTTTCAGCACTCTCCCAGGCCAACGCCATAGCATCCGGCCGTCAAAAGAAGCTCCGTCGACTACCTCACATCTTCGCGAAGGTTCTCGAACTTCCTTTCCATTCCGATGCTGACGTGTCTATCCAAGAGAGCCCCGATTCGTTGCGCTTCGTTATCCCGACGGATGATAACGTTGGGGACAATATTAGGGCCCACACAGTTGAGATCTATCCTGGTGTTACTAAGATTGTGATACGAGGGGATAATGTTTTGGATTCGTCTTTAGGTGAGTTTGAGCTCGACTTATGGCGATTCCGTCTCCCGCCGTCAACTCTGCCGGAGCTGGCTACCGCCGCTTTTAACGACGGCGAGCTGGTGGTCACGGTCCCCAAAGACCCACATGAAGAAGACGTGGATGGTGCTGATATTGGTGAGGCTGGACGCCTTATTCTTGTACAATAAATCTCTAGCTTCAGTTCCTTTTTCTTTTTCAGTTTATGTCCCAATTGTGGCTCGTTTTGCTAAAGGGATATAATTTGAACTATCTATGTCTAAATAAGATAGCACCCCTTGGATGTGAATTTCGATCATTGTGGTCTACTCATTTCTTTACTAAAAGTTCAGTAATATAGAGGATTCATAGTAATAAACTTCTAACAAGTTTGGGATTTAGAGGCAATCAGATGTATCCACATAAAGTTTGGTAGATTGCTTTCTTTCTTTCACTACCCGCTAATTTAGAGTTTACAATTGGTTGGTGAGAAAAGATGAAAAGAGGAAGCTTTTGGTTCGAATTAGTGGCTATAAAGTCGTCCTGTAGTTTTATAATTGTGATTTGTCATTATTACATTTGCGTAGCTTTAGTTGCTCATATGGAGAAGCATATAGGTTTGGGACGGCCAAAGACTGATTCTATGACCTCTCCATTTTGTTTATCTCATTTTGTTGGTTGTCATCTATTCAAAAGTGTTGTTACCCTTCAAAGAATATATTAATGGTGGTGCCATATAGTTGATTTTCCCTATTATGTGGTGATGATCAAGGGAAGAATGTATAAGGTGAAACTCCGTTTAGATGGCTCCTAGTGGCTAAGAAAGAATTCATCATACAGCCGTATGCGGGTCGAAGTATCCTAAGAACATTGATGTTGGTGATTCTATCATTAACTGTTGCAAATAATACATTGAACTGTAGGGATGACAATTTCTCAACTGCTAATGGGATGACAATTTCTCAACTATGTGCATTCCTGTGCTAGGTAATTGTCCTAGTAATTCTTTTCATAATGTCATTATATGTTTCTCTGAAACTCCGATTGTCAATAGATTTGTCCTGGTTGATTTGTAGACTTGTTCTTATCTAGTTCCACTTCTCTACGCTTGCCCAATAATGTCCCATCAAAGCTTTCTTGGTCCAAAAAATTCAAAACAAAAATAAAGTCTTTCCTTTCAATAATTGAACTTCCTCTAATTTTGTCTTCTCTGTTATTGCGCTGTGCAAATGTCATTCGCAGCGCTGCTCTTGTGAACATCAAAACCTAACAGTAGAATTGTGTTGCAGTTGCTATTACTGACAGATGCTAGATTCAATCTGTTTTGCATATGGGATGGAATTAATCAGATCATCAAGGCTTAAGAGCTGAGGCCAATCTGAAGAAGATTTAATTTCGAGAAATTTCTGTAGTTGGATTCTATAACCTTTGAGTTTATTATTTACTCGTGGTTGCATATATTTGAAATGCAGAAATGAATTTTTGGTTGTCATGTTATGGTGAT